GAACCCACCAGCAGCTCCGAGGGAGAAAGATGTGGTGGTCTGCTTCCGTAAAGATTACAGCCTTGGAAACCCTGTGGGGCAGTTCTACTCTGTCCTATAGGGACACTATGAGTCGGAATCGACTCAATGGCAATGGGTTTTGGTGTTTTGTTTTGTTTTTTCTTAAGAGGAAATTAAATTATCAACCTAACTTTGAGGAAAGGGCTACAGCCTTTCTAACTGAGGGGCAGCTTTTCAGCTTTTAAGCTGTGTGCAGCCCCTGGAATAATTCCTGAGACCCAACTCTTCACAATAACTCTAATCATTACCAGAATATCCTCAGAGATGTGTTCTGCTGCAGGGCTTGTGCAAGGCTCTTTCCTCCTTCTGTGGAGATGCCGTTGAATGCAAGACTAGGAGGGAAACACTTGATGTAGATTATCAGAGACACTTCTACACTCGGCTTCGGCTTCAGTAACCAAAGCGGCCAGGAAGATGCCAGCTGGATGCGGTGCCTGCCCAGGCTGACTTGTGGCAGGAAGCAGAAGTGGTCAGCTGCGTCAGCAGCCCCCAGGCCTTGTTGCTTCAGAGCCCACACTCAGAGCATGAGGACAGGCGCAAGACTGCTCAAGAATTGACCAGACGGGAAACAGAACACCAGTGAGGCCCGGTCACACACTGGGAGGGGGCCGGTTCCTCAGGTTTTTACATAAGCCAAAGGGCTGGAGGCTTAGTAGCCCCATCAGTGAGACCTGGAGAAGTTCCTTTTCTTCTCATAAAGAAGGGTCTGTGCTATTACTCCCCACCATCTTGGATTCCCTTTTGGTGGCAGGAGAGACATGGGCAAGACGGAGACACCAAGGCTCTGGGATTTGGCCAGAGACCTAAAGGAGGACTGGGAAGGAGCATGTCTGTCCCAGCACCGTCCTAAGAATGAGGAAGGGGCAGGGATCTGCCAGCCAGTGTCCCTTTCAGTTTCATCTGGACTTACTAATTCTTCCTTCAGCCCTCAAGGGGCACGAGGAGATGTGTGTGTGTGTTGCAGGGAGAGGGGGCTGGAAAGGTTGGGTCTCAAAAAATGCCTTGTATCTTACTCAGGTGGTGGTTTCATTGGCCACACTCCCTCTAGAAAGCCCCCCGGAGACAGTGAGTCTTAGAAGGGAGCAGTTACCTCAGGTTAGCCAAGCTGGGGTGGTTCCTCAGAGCCTCTGCGAAGGCCTTTGCTCCTTCATCACCGATTGTATTGCCCCACATCCTGGCGGCAGGGCAAGACAGTGAAAGTTAGTACCCCCAAAAAACAATATGGCCACTCTCACCCCTTAATTTCTGCCAGTGGCACAGCTTGATGGCATACCCAGCAGGCAGATGCTTTTGTTCGGTCCCTGGAGCTGCGGCCTAAAGACTAATTCCTTACCCCAGCCCCTGAGTGCTGCTGTGGATTGATTTCAAATGCAAAGAGAAATATAAGAATAAAGAGCAGTAGAAGCCTTGTGAACAGAAGTTGATGAGCAAGTTGTATAATTAGAGACCAAGTCTCACCCCTGAGCTTTTGGAGAGTTGTCAGTCAGAGAGGCTAAGCTCAGGACTGGTTCCCGAAACTACCTGCATGTCACCTGCTGAGGGTAAAGAGGACACCAGTCCGGAAGGAAGGTCTTGTGCAGGTACTGGACTCCCAGCATCAGTGTGCTTCCACGCAGGGGAGTCACAGCCCTTCACGAGGACACAGTCAGCATGCCATGAAGCCAAGATAAAACCAAAAAAAATCAAACCCATTGCTGTCAAGTCAATTCTGACTCATAGTGACCCTACAGGACAGTGTAGAACCGCCCCATAGGGTTTCCAAGGAGTGGCTGGTGGAGTCAAACTGCCGACATTTTGGTTAGCAGCCAAGCTCTTAACCACTGTGCCACCAGGGCACATTTAGAAACCTTATCAACAATGTTCCTTTTATGTAAGGAGGACGTTACCAAACTATGCTCTGTGGATTGTCTCAGTCTTGGGTGGGAGGGAGTTGGAGTGACAAAGCTGTATTCTCACCCAAAGCAGATAATCTGAGAGAATCGGGCTGAAATGGGGTAAGACATTGGGCTCCAGAGCCAGATTGCTGGACTCATATCCTGGGTCTGCCACCTACTACCTGTGTGACCTTAGGAAAATTACATAACATCTTGAGTCTCAGTTTCCTCCTCTGTAAAATGAGGAGAAAAAGAATATTCTCTCATACAGTGTTGTGAGTACCGAACGAGTTAATGTATGCAAAGCACTATTATAACTAAACATAAAGCAAGTCGGCCTGGCCCACTCACAGCAGAGCTGCGGCTGCCTCAGCAACATACTGTCACCAACTGCTATGTGCTGAATTGTGTCCCCCAAAATATGTGCTGGAATCCGAACCTCACCTGGGGGTGCAATCCCATTTGGGAACGGGGTAGTCTTTGTGAAGTTAATCAGGCAATATCAGCATAGGGGGTGTCCTAAACCTAATCACCTCTGAATTTTAAGGAGCAGCACAGACACAGAGACACGTGAGCACAAATGGGGGAAGACACATGCCACGTGGAGATAAATTTCTCTTCTCTAAAGCCACCCCCTTGTATTTGTGTTTACAGCGGCGCTAGTAAACTAAGACACCTAGCAAGCTATCTGCCTACAAACCTCCATGGATGGCTTGCTAAACACCCCAGCAAGAACTGACCAGAATAAGTTTTTCAAAGCATTTCACTTAAAAAGCATATGTACCATAGAACTGCATGGTATCACATTTTTTAATGATGTGGAAAACTACTCATGACGTGAGATTTAGTGGAAAAGGTAGGATAAAATTCTGTGTATAGTTTGACCTCTACTGTCTTTTAAAAGGAGCCCTGGTGGTACAGTGGTTAAGTGATAGGGCTGCTAACCAAAAGTTTGGGAGTTCAAATCCACCAGCTGCTCCTGGAAACCCTGTGGGGGCAGCTCTACTCAGTCCTCCAGGGTCTCTAGGGTTGCTATGTGTCGGAATCAACTCAATGGCAACGGGTTTTTTGTTTTGTTTTGTTTTGTTTTTGATATTTTAAAAAATGGGGCAAGAGAGGAGACGAGAGGAGAGGGAAGGGGAAGGGAGGGGAAGGAAAGGGAAGGGAGAGGACGGGAGGGGATGCTATGTTTAATTGACCTCAAAGGTTAACAATAATTATTTCTGATGAGTGATTTTTATTTTATTTTTCATATTTTCCAGTTTCCAAATAAAATTGACTTTTTATAATCAGATAAAAAACGTATAACAATAATGAAAAGCTTTAAAAACCCCCATAGATACGTCATATTCTTAAAATATAGACCATCTTGTGGAAACTTAGAAGTAGAAACCCTCTCTCTACTGTAGCAAATAGGGCTAGAACACCTCCCTCCGTGTGCTGATGGTGACAACACTGATTTTTGCATGAGTTCAACAGAAGTCCATGCAATTTTAGTTGTAATCGATCCTGGGACTTCACACAAGGTTTCCCACGCGGGAACCCCGGGGGCCTCTGAGGCATCAGTGGTGAAAGTTCTCTGCAGCCACTTTCCCACAGCTTGCCCTGCAGTCCTGCTGACAGATTTCTGTACAAAAAGACCAGCCAGTCCCATGTACATAAAAAACCAAAAACCAAACCTGTTGCCATCAAGTCAGTTCTGACTCTTAGCGACCCTATAGGACAGGGTAGAACTGCCCCATAGAGTTTCCAAGGAGCCCCTGGTGGATTCAAACTGCCAAACTTTTGGTTAGCAGCCATAGCACTTAACCACTATACCACCAGGGTTTCCAGGTACATAAAGCAGGTTGTATCACACACACATGCGTGCATTCGCTGCTACTCACCCAACTTCAAAGACTGATTTGCTGTTCTTCACAGCCAGGGCGAGACACTTGCCTCCTTCACTCGTTATTTTGTTTAGTCCTAGCCTGGAGAGAGAGTCATGGACAGTCTACCTCTGGTGTGAGCAGACTCCAAAAACAGGCCACCCACCTCCCCAGCATAAGAGCCCTCCTGGCCCCTCTAGGAGGTGTGGTCTCTCTCCTGGACCCTGGAGTACATTAAATGAAAGTTAACAGCCATGTCCTGGGCTTCCTATCGGGGAAGGACTTGAAGGTCTGAAGAAGCCAGCCAAGCAGGGTTCCTCTCCAGATGTTCTACAATTTCTGGAGAAACATAGGGACCCAAGCCCCGCCTTGAGGTCCTCTAAAGGACCTCAGGAGGATCATTCCTTTCCACACGCAGGCTAGGTAGTTCCTCTCATTAACTGCAAATGGTCCAGGGTGGGCCAAGTCTAGTGCTCTGGCACCCTTTGCAGGACGTTCCTATGACAAGGAAAGGATCAAGCTCTTGCCTGCCATTAGGCTCAAGAGAGGGTGATAGTTACAGCCTTTCTTATGCCAATAGTTTGTGAAATCAAAATGCCAAGCCTCCCCCCACCAATGGAAGGTGGCCCTGCCAAAGTCCATGCCTCACCACGGGTCATCATTTCTCCACATGGCCAGTTCACCTTCCACTCCTCTGGGGCAAGCAGAAGAAGACTTTAGGGGGAAAGCTCTTTAGGGTGACATTTATCCTTTGAATAATGGAAGGGGTGATCAAGAGAAGCAAAGGAGAAGAGCAGCTACTAAGGAACCTACCACACCCAACTCCACTTACTTAAGGTATTGGAGGCCTTTGCACTCATCCAGGATTTTGGCAATGTATTTGGCTCCCACATCAGTGATCTGGTTGTTATATAAGCTTTGAGAGAAAGCACAGGCATGAGATTTTGTAACTCCCAATGTCATTTAATGACCTCAAGTTTTTAAAAAAGTGAGTAGGTGCTGTTTAATGATTTCCAAAGCCTGTGTTGGAAGGAGAAAGAAATGGCACATGGATACAAGAGTCTGGGGCTTTGGGGCCTCACAGCCTGGGCTCAAATGCCAGCTCCACCACTTTCCCCAGCTTTATGACTTTGGATAGGTTACTTAACCTCTGTGCCTCAGTTTTTCCATCTGTAATAGAGGAGTAATAATCAAATCATAGCTCTCTCACAGAGGATTATATAAGAGAATTTTTTTATGATTATGTGAGATAACGCAAAGCCCTGGCACATAAGTGTTCACTCATGGCCATCATTAGATTAAGATTATAATCAGCATCTTGAGGGCAAAAAAAGCTTCTCTCAGTGTGTACCTTTTGGCCATTTTACCACTTGATACTAGT